TCACACACACTCACTCACTCACTCTCACAGTAAATTACAAGCAATAGCACAAATAAATACAGTAGAACAAATCAAATCAAATAAACAGTGGTTCAAGTTTTTCAGGCAGATCTAACTCTTTTTATTCAGGTAAGAAATACTACAGAGATTGAATGAAGTAATACATTTATATGTTCTGTTGCAAAATTCTAATTCAATTCAGATTCACACCCTAATCTCTTAATTTTCAAGAACCGATCCAACAGGAAGTGTCTGATGTGGCGTGTGTGTCATTCTGTGCAGGGGTTTTGAGTGAGCGTAAGAAGGTGACTCTGGGCACTCAGCCCACGGTTCTGCGCACCTTCCGCTCGCTCTCCACATCTAATGTGTTCGCCTGCTCCGACCGGCCCACCGTCATCTACTCCAGCAACCACAAACTGGTCTTCTCTAACGTCAACCTGAAGGAGGTCAACTACATGTGCCCACTCAACTCTGAGGGATACCCCGACAGGTACGACACGAGAAAGATCAGGCCTGTTCTTATCAGCGAACACATCTGTAGTGAAAGATGGAGCGGTGACTTTGATTTCCTCTTCCTTCTGTCACAGTCTGGCTCTGGCCAACAACAGCACTCTGACCATCGGCACTATCGATGAGATCCAGAAGCTCCACATCCGAACCGTTCCTCTCTACGAGTCGCCCAAGTGAGTGTGTGTCCTCCGACAGGAACACATCCAGACTGCAGTCTCTGAGCTTTACTGGAAAGAACTAGGAATGTCAATGTCAATTTATTAGATGAAGCTTCTCATTGTGTAATTATGAGAGCAAAAGCACTGTCTATAAAATCATCAGTCTTTGTTTCTTGCTCACTAAACACGCACCATTCATATGCTCGAGTATAATGTCATTAGAATTGGAGCGTTTACTTTTAAAGTATAGATGATGTGCACTACAAACACATGATCGTATGTTAAAGTTGTCTTTTTTTGCAGTGCCACTCTTTCTAATAAATCCAGCCCATCAGTTTTATTTAGTGGCTCTCTGAGGGTTAAACCTCCACTGAGTAATCTAATGACACATTGTAAAGGCCAAATAAAACCAAAATTGGCTATTGCCATCTGAAGCGTGAATATTTAGTGATTAATCAGCAACTCAGTCGCTCTGGTGCTGTCTGTGCTTCAGTGCTCGTGTGTGTCGTTGCAGGCGGATCTGCTATCAGGAGGTGTCTCAGTGTTTCGGAGTTTTGTCCAGTAGAGTAGAAATGCAGGACACCAGCGGGACAACAGCAGCCGTGCGGCCCAGCGCCAGCACACAGGTGTGTGTGTGTGTGTGTGTGAGAGTGAGAGTGTGTGTGTATGTGTGTGTGTCTGTGTGTGAGAGTGTGTGTGTGTGTGTGTGTGTGTGAGAGAGAGAGTGTATGTATGTGTGAGAGTGTGAGAGAGTGTGTGCGAGTGTGTGTGTGCGAGTGAGTGTGTCTGTGTGTGTTAAACACTTCAGCTTCCTCCTCATGAAGCAGATGCACTGAGATGTGTGTGTGAGTGTGTGGTGTGTCAGATGCACTGAGATGTGTGTGTGTGTGTGTGTGCGCGCGCTCAGGCGCTCTCCAGCAGCGTCAGCTCCAGTAAGCTGTTTCCCAGCAGCACTTCTCCTCACGAGACGTCGTTTGGAGAGGAGGTGGAGGTGCACAGTCTGCTGGTGGTGGATCAGCACACATTTGAGGGTAAGTGTGAGCGCTGTCAGCTGGAGTGTGTGTGCAGGCGTGACGTCTGACTTCATCCTGGTGGGTGACCTGATGCGCTCCGTGCTGCTGCTGGCCTACAAACCCATGGAGGGCAGCTTCGAGGAGGTGACCGCTGCCGCCGGGAATTCTGGGATTCATGCGTCGTTTCAAGTTGTAAGAAAGCAGTTCTTAATTTCCTCTCGCTGTTTTCCTTCCATTAGATTGCTCGTGATTTCAATCCCAACTGGATGAGTGCTGTTGAAATCCTGGATGATGACAACTTCCTCGGAGCGGAGAACGCTTTCAACCTGTTCGTCTGCCAGAAGGACAGGTAATGGATTGAGGATTGTTTCATGTGATTGGCAGGTTGCTGGAGGAAGGACTGGGCGTCTGAAGGATCAGTGAAATCATAGCTCAGTAGGAATCCAGCGATAATGAGTTTCGCATGAGGATGACAGATTTCACTTCCGGTTGATAACTGGAGTTTGACCAGCAGAAAGCTGCTTGGATTGAGCGTGACCTCTGAAGCTGTGCTTCGTGTATCACTGCACTGTTGATAACAGATAAAGGGTCTGTTTTCTTCACTGATGTGATGCACCTTAAGGGCAGTGAATGATTGTTGGGTTGCGTGTGTCCTCCAGCGCGGCGACTACAGACGAGGAGCGGCAGCACCTGCAGGAGGTGGGTCTGTTCCACCTGGGAGAGTTTGTCAACGTGTTTTCACACGGATCTCTGGTGCTGCAGAATCTGGGCGAGAGCTCGACGCCGACACAGGGCTCGGTGCTGTTCGGCACAGTCAACGGCATGATTGGTGAGCTGCTTCTCCCTTCACTCTGCTGTACCTCAAACACTTTTAGAGTCACAGCCGTGAGATCGGGACGTTACTAATGTGCCTGCCTCGTGCTGACATGAGCACAGATGGGAAGTGTCTGGGTGTGTCTGTGAGGACTGATTTACAGACGTCTCCAGAAGAGGAATACATCGTGATTAAGAGCGGTTTGTCAGGCGTGAGGCGTGGAGCCGCTTCTGCACTCATATCAGACTCATTCTGAAGAATCTAAAGCAGCTTTCATTTGTAGGATTTCCAGAGAATTAAACTCTACCTTCATATCATTACTGTGATGTTGGTTGTGTGTAAATGTGCGTTTGCTCTGTGTTTGAGGTTTGGTGACGTCGCTGTCGGAGGGCTGGTACAGTTTACTGCTGGATCTACAGAACCGACTCAACAAAGTCATCAAGAGCGTCGGCAAGATCGAGCACAGCTTATATCCTTCAGCAGCGGTCAGAGACGTGTGCTTGTGTGTGTGATTTAACAGTCTTTTCTGACCTGTTGAAGTCCTTGACTAGCGCCACCTGGAGGTCCTTCCACACCGAGCGCAAGACTGAGCAGGCCACAGGATTCATTGACGGAGATCTGATCGAGAGCTTCTTGGATCTGGGTCGAGCTAAGATGCAGGAGGTGGTCAGCACACTGCAGGTGATCTCCTCACATCACTGCTTTCCTGCTGCTTCATTCATGGCTACTCTGATGATGTAAAAAATCGCTCCTGATGAATGCTTGCGCTCACGACTCGCTCATCGTATTATATGGTGATGTGTAGTTAAAGCGGCGCTGACCGTATGCGTCTGGGCTCATCTTGACCCGTCTCAATCAGGCGTGTTTGATTAGGAAGAGTTTAAAATGGATTTGTCAGGCGATTATTGAATCATTACCACAATACTGATTTCTCACTATAGACATTAAAAGTTTTTAAAAAAGCAAAAAACAGCATCTGTACGCAAACTGACTGCCAACTGCCATTTTTGTTCATTCAGCTCAGCCTAATCACACGTAAAGGATTGTGGGATATCATAGGTGTGTTCCATGTCATAGTGGTAAAGATGGTGTTTATGAGTTATGGATGGGAAACTCTGGATTTGAGTTTGTGAGTCGCCTATAGGCAATAATATAGGCCTAATGATTCGATATGCAGAATATTTGTCAGTTAATATGAATAAAAACAAAGCAAACACATGACGTGTATTAATTCCTCATTTCATAGAAGTAGAGTTAAAAGATACACGTTTATAATGCTCTAACCGAGCAACTTAAACACACCTGACACCATAATGATGAACGTCCAGGACTTAAACACAGCAGTACATCTGCGCTGCTCATAAATCCATCAGATGAAGGCGTGTCAGGCGACAGGAAGTGATGCGATCACTGGATTCAGACGCCTCCAGAAACAGGGCTGGGAGACACGGAGCTAAAGATACATGTTCACCAAAGGATTATGATTTTAATTGAAAAGATTATTTCAACAAAAAAGCTGTTTTAATAAAAATACCCTAATACCCCTCTAATATGAGTTGTGATGCATACGATGCTTTATTTCCACACAGATGCAGGTTGAGCATCTCAAATGCTTTCCTGAATACTTGAGTGCGCGTGCGTAAGCTTCATCTGTCTTCACATTCACACGTGTTCATGTGTTTGTGTTGTAGATCGATGACGGCAGCGGGATGAAGCGCGAGGCGACGGTGGACGAGGTTATTAAAATCGTGGAGGAGCTGACGCGGATCCACTAACCGCGAGCGTCACGCATCTGTGCATAACTATACATACATCAGAGTGTGTGTGTGTGTGTGTGTGTGTTCAGTCTCACGCTCACGCATGCACAGCCGCGCTCACCTCTTCTTCATTTGCTTGTCCTGTGAGCATCGAGGTGAAGATCACTGTCTGCTGGATGGAGGAGCCGATTCGGATTCTGCCAGCACTGATCCGCAATAGTTTTAGTGAAGCGTTTGTCATTGTGGTGTCTCTCTGTTTGGTCATTTATTTTAATAAAGTTTCCTTCAGTATTTTGGGCCCGTTGTGTTTTATCTAGTGTGTGTGTGTGGGGGGTCTTTTAATAAAAGCAGCACATTACATACAGAAGAGATGAATTCAGTCGTATTTTCTCCTCTCCTGTGTAGCGCTAATGTGCGATAAACCCAGACAGGCTGATATAAGAGCTCAAATCAGAGCCGCACTGTGCATTATCCTGCATATTACATGACTGCTTACTTCATTAATAAATAAATGGACATGAAATATTGATTTGAGTGTGCATGACTTTATTATGGGAAGCAGGAGAGTGTAATAGACAGTTCAGCAGAAAGCCGTCTGATCATCACATCTGTCCTGATCCATCTAATATAGTAATATACAAGTCATTAATACATTAAACAACATTGTGCTTAATGTCAGCTCTTGTGATTTAAGTTAATAAAACTTTATTTTGTGATTATTAAACCATAGGATCAGCCATTGATTTAAGTAAATGTTTTTGTCAAAATGTGTATTGTGTGAATTAAAGTGGTCTCGTCATGGCAACAGAGTTGTAAAATCCGAACAGGAAAGGCCTGTAATTTCACTGTAATCCAGATTTTTTATTTATTTATTTTTATGTGAGGTCTTCTTGCCATCATTTATTTTCTGTCTACAGATGGACAGTTCAGTCCTGGTTTGTCAGGGATGTTCCAGGCTCAAAACTGACAGATTGAAATAAGTGATGAGAGAGAGTTTGAGTGTGTGTTTCATGTTTGAGGAAGCAGATGAGTTACACTTGGATCGGGAATCTAGTTCAGGTTTTGTGTTTCTATACTGTGACCCATCCATTTCAGGTCTCTAATAACGAGCAGAGGAGCTGAATCAGGTGTGTTTAATTAGGAAGAGTAATTAGGGAAATGTGTGCTGTTGGCGTTTCTCCAGGAGCAGGGTTGAGAAACACAGATCTAGTGTAATGTCAAGGCATTCAGTAATTAGACGTGCTGCTGCGTGGTTTGGGAAGTTTTCATTTGAGATTGTTGTAGGCCATGGTTTCTGCTCCTCTGCAGAACGCTGTCTCTCTCTCTCTATGTGTTTGTGAAAGAAGATCACTCTCCTCATCATCATCCTGCAGAACACAACCAACCTCGATGAAATACCTGCAGTGATAACTTCTGTTAGTTATTTTGACCCAGAGCGTTGAACACTTTGGTCTTTGGAAATCTTGATGGTTTTGGGAAAGATCTGGGAAATGTCTTCGGTTCAACACGGACCAGCCATGAGTATGATGATGGACTCCTGTTCTGTCAAGCAAGATGCGGCACACAACCTCTGATTCCTGCCATCATACCACTGATCTATAATAGAGAACACTATATATAGAGATATATATATATAGATAGATAGATAGATAGATCAGCGCACTCATACAGCGAATATTTTCATCTTGAGCAGGTCTTCTGTAATCGTGCTGATCATCAGTGAGCTTCAGACCAGGTAAATACATGAACTTCATTATAACATTGAAAATATTTATAACATGCATCATTGCTCAAGAAACTATTATAACGTTCAGTTTGTTAATCATGGCTGCTGATGTTCTGATGTATATTATGCAGGATAGTTAATGCATTACAGTACTGTGTTACTGCATAAAAAACTAACAAATTGTGTTACTTGGTTACTTTCTGTGGCGAGTAATGCGTTGCGTTACTTTCTTACACCTGAGCTGGGCTTGCTTATTTATTTTTAATAACAGAAAAACAAAACCAAAAACGTTATATTTTTGGCAACTGTAAGGGCCCTTTCATATCAAAAAAATGAAATGAATAAGTCTCAGTCACTCCCAATTTCTCTCAACACAGAGACAGGAGAGCTGTCAGTGAATAAATGTGAAAACGCATATCTTGCATTACTTATTTAAGAAAGTAACTCTGATATTTTCTTGTAAATGTAAAAGTAATGCATTACTTTACAGTTACTTGAAGGAGTAATCTGATTATGTATTTTGCGTTACCCCTAACCCTGAGGACCGCTCTTCTTCTTCAGAGCTGTATTGAGGATTCATGAACGAAGTGGACACGATTATCTATGAGAAACTGCTCCATCCTGATTCCAGTGTGAATGAGAACACACACACCTTCAGCAAGAAAAGGTACCTGGACTTAATTTTATTAGTCAGTAGTCATGTATTAGACCTCATTCATGTGATCATCTAAACACCTTTAGGATATTCCACTGTTAACGTACACAACATCCAACTCTCCCAGTTCTGCTGATCCAAACATAAAGATGCATCTGCCTGAGTTCTAAACCTCATTAGCTGATTTAGTGATTGCAGAAGCAGCTTCACAGATAGACGGGCTAGAGAAAGGAAAAACGGAGGAGAATGAATCTGTTTGTCCATGCAGTGAATTATTGTGACTCTGATGTTTGTCGACTGGCCGCAGACCCGGCTGAAGCAGTCCTGAACGAGACGTCTGTCCTGAAACCTTAATTCACAAATGGCAGCTTGTGACTGTAAATATTCTGACTGCAAGTAAACGAAGCTCCGCCTTGATGCAGTGATTGACAGGTGTGCAGTTCATAGTCACGCTGGATTCTCTAAATCACTGAATTCTGTTACATTCTTCCTGAAATATTCATGAAAAACCACTTCAATTATGACTGTAAATCCATTTGAACAATAGTTTAGCTGTCCTTACTGCATTCACAAATGAAATCTATCGTAACACATTCAGTTTTATATTTAATGTTAGCAGTAGTGTTGGAAATGCAAATCACATAAATGTATTTGGTTCTTCCAAATTTAGTACATATTTATTCCCATTATTTCCCATAGGTATAGGAAATGTAAATTCAAATACAGGAATACATTGACATTTTACATTTTTCATCTCAAATTGAATTCAGCTAAACGCTTCCATCATTTTCAAGCAACATATTTCATAAAAAGGAGCTTGTTAGGTTCAAAATGATAAAACTATACAAACAGTGTTCAAAATGAAGATATTTGAGACTCGACCGTGAGTTTGTGGTGGATCTGTTTGTGTGGATGTTTTATTCTGTGTTGGTGGCACAGACATCAGTTCTTCAGGCCACAGTCGATGCAATAACGTTAAAAACTGTGCTTTTGCTCTTTTACTGAATCGGCTCTGCTGAACAGACTTCTGCTGCTTTCTACATACTGCAAGTACTTCATTTGCTCAACTAAAATGTCTGTTTTATTACTTTTTGCTTTAAAGATGTCAAATAAGTCATATATACAAAAATGTGATCTAAATATCTTTTTTAATCTATTGAGAATTTGCTCTGAATAAATATAAACAGCGGTTATTCATTTAATACGTATTAATATGAAATTATACAAATATAAAATTATGACATTAGTTACTGGTGTCCCTCTTTAAAGGGGTCATATGATGCTGCTAAAAAGAACATTATTTTGTGTATTTGGTGTAATGAAATGTGTTTGTGGTTTGAGGTTCAAAACACATTATTTTCCACATACTGTACATTATTGTTTCTCCTCTATGCCCCGCCTTTCTGAAACGCTCGATTTTTACAAATAGTCTTTGCAACTTTACAGATCTTCTTTATGCACCAACAGCTTGTAGCACTCCAAAGAGAAAGGAAAAATTGAAATCGCATCATATGACCCCTTTAAAATTGCTATATTTTCTTCACAAATGGACAAAACAGGAAAAAAAAGAAACTGTCCATTAAATATTCACAAAGAGCCATTTTCATTCTTTCAGTTGATCTGGATTATAAAATCATGTCGCAAATAGCAGTGTGAGCAAAAGGTTGTGAGTGATGGCTACCGCGATGAAGAGGCAGAGATGCAGGTGCGTTTGGTCCGGTTCTGCTCTCGGCCGCGTCTCTATGCGTAGAAGGTCTCCACTTTCACAGCGTGACAGAATATGGTCATGGAGAACACCAGCCCCAGGATCTGCAAACACATGTCAATGCTGACCATCGCTGAGCTCTTATGTGTTGAGTGTTGTGATGTGAGCGTTCAGTACCTGTGTTAGAGCCGTACACAAAGCAAAGATCCACAGAGCCACCAGATTCTCCTGCAGCCAGCCCTTCACTCGCTCATAACACGGCTGTCGACACAAACCACAGCGATCAGTCACTTCAGAGAGAGCTGGACACTGTCACACTTACAGAGACTCAGTCTGTCCTGCCCAAACCGCCTGTTCACTCGGAGAATACACCAACACAGCAGAGAAAACAGTGTGTGCCAAACCATTTGATGAGCTCTTTAGAGACTAAAGCTGACTTACAGCCGTCCACCAGGTGCCAGGATTCTCCAGACCGCAGTTATCGCACACACACACACACAGAGAGAGACACAAACAAACACACACACACAGAGAGACACAGACGCACACACAGACAGAAAGACACAGAGACACACAAATGCACACACACACACACACACACACGCACACACACACACACCATCGTCACATGTCCTTCCTTCAAGACACTCAATCATATCTTACAGTGCTACACCTCTGGTTCTTGGGAAATAATCCTAACTACAGACAGGAATGCAGTGACGTACGTCGGTTTGGACGATGCTCCAGGCGTTGGTCAGGCCGATGTTTCCTTCAGTCCCGAAGAGCTGCAGGCCTTTCTTCAGGTCGCTTTGAGCATACAGATCAATCTAGAACACAGCGGGAAGAAAACCTTATTCATTAATTATAATGACATTAATCCCTGATTATCATATTCTGAAGCATATGGTTATGGTTGAACTGGTTTATTTTCACTGTGTATAGTACAAAACTTGATTTTATTAATCTGTATTTTTTTCCACAAAACATTTCTTAAAAACAAGACAAACTATTTGCCAGTGGGCAAGACAAATAAACGTCATGATATATTCTCTGAAAACATGTTATGAAGTCAATGTATATTGTTTTCAGGATTTTTTTAAATTAACTTATTTATTCTGGAAAACAAGACAAAAATGCTGATTAAGACTTTGTTTCACATAAGGACTAATAAAAGGGTTTTAATGCATACCTGCCAACCAATCAGAATCAAGTATTCAGACAGACCATGGTATAACGGTCTATAAACACCTTGTTCGCGTGTGAAATGAATAACCGCATGTTGTTTCAGCACATTTGAGCTGCAGGTTTAGTCTGTGGAGTCTGATTTAAGGCCCTGTTTTTCATTCTTGTGTAATGTGCTACGATCCTGCTCTACGTTGTTCATTTTCTATAAATGCACATCTAATTACAGTGGAACATAAATGTCCCTGAAAATTACCATTAATACAAGCCATGGAGCTGTGTCAGTAAATCAATTTAATTACTCATTCATTATGCTTTGCATTTTAACAGAGCAACGTAAACTAATACACAAATGGTGTTTGCGCTTAACGTTTGTTGTTTTCAACACTGAAAATGTGCGCAGATGAAACCAAGCCTGTTCTCAGCTGTGTGAAATGAATCTGGTCACAAACGTATTTCTACAGCCATCAGATCAAACCGTGACGGAGCAGGTTACATACGTGACTACATAACCCATGTACAGACGCTGGTTTATGTGATTCTTCAGAGCGACAGATGATGCACACAGTCAGGAACAGCACAAGCTTTACCACACCTGACTCTTACTGATAGTTCTGCTGCTGTTTAAGAACAACACGATCTATCCTGCAGTTCTTCATATTAACTCACTGTGACGGGATACATTTATAAACAAGTCATATCTGACATTTAAAGGACACAAATAGACACAAATAAACTGACACATGAGCCTCATTCATTAAACACAAGCAAACTTAATTTCCGTGTATATAAATTGTACTCAATTCAGTGTAACAGTTTACACATGAATGGATTTATTCATGATTTTCACAGAAACGCACTGATTGTGCTGGTGTTTGATGCATGAGGCCCACTGAGTGCTAAACATGAGCTGGTGAATGAACAAAGATGTGCTTGTCTACAGTCATTACTGCTGGCCAAGAGTAATGCATGTGAGAGAACGGCAGGGGGAGATGAAGAAAAGCATTTCTGTAGAGCAGGAATCTCCTGGAGAGCTGCTTCAGTTCCAGCCCTGCTCCAACACACAGCTCTGAACACCTCGATTAGCTTTCACTTTTATACATATACACATGTATTAGTGCCACATTAAAATCAGATTTTGAGAATAGATTCACAATGTTATGAGAATAAAGTTATGTAATTAAGGCATGTTTTGAGTAAAGAAACTTTCTTCAATAATTGAGTAAATTCCTGGACCTTCCCGAAAATTCTTCTCAAATTCGTATTCGCATCGTAAATCAAATTTTTGTTAATTAAGCTTGTGCATGTTAATTCAGTCACATACACACTCATTCTGAATTAGCATAATCCCGCTCATGAACCACGGCTAACGTGAATTGCGCGTACAGGAACGATGTGGGATCTTTGGACTCCCTTCAGGTTTGACTTCAGTAAATTTCATAAATGCAATAGAGACTGATTGACCACATGGCTGCTTTTAATAACTTTGATCAATTTCAAATGTAACATGTTTAGTACGTTCTTATTTGAAATTCTTAAATATAATTTTGGGAGCAATGAAACATCTAATATATGGGCTTGAGTCTTTCATAGTATTTAAAATAAAGCAATAAACCACAAGATGAGAAGCATTTCAGTGGTTTTGCAACGAGTAAGACGTGCTGTAAAACAGCAATATAATGAAAGGCAGTCCTATAAATATTTAAATTCTTTAATGATAACCAATTCTCCCAGCAAATCATATTGTTCATTAGTGTAACTGTAGGCTGTTGGTGATTTCACAGCAACACGGCACATTACATTCTGATGAACACAGCTGTCAGGCATATTTTATGGGAGTCAGAATGATTTTAAAATGAATTAAAGTTTTATTATAGTTCTATAAAAACTACTTTATTAAAAAAAAAGTTTTACAGCACTTAATATACAATGGTACAGATATATATGCATATTAAATATGATCAGACTGAGGCATATCTTTGACAGAAGCAGTAAACACAGACAGAAAACTCAGATGGAAACTAATTATTCACATCTAAAATATTTTACCTGTTCCTCTCGCAGTATGTGAGTTTTGTGAAGTGTTTATGGAATATCATCCTTTTCTGATAGCATATATATGAGTTATAAATGTTTTACAGTCTTTACTACAGAGGAATTGCACTGCCGTCATCAGTCGGCCAAACAGAGCGTCATCAATGAATTATTCAACACCACAAACAGAGAGGAAATAGAAAAACAGGAAAAAGGCAGTGAGAAAGACAGCAATCTATACTGTTGAAGCTGCCAGTGAAAGCTGTCCTCAGAGGATTGTGTTTCTTTCTCCAGACAGGATTTGAGTGCATGCATGCTCTGAACCCAGAGCCGTCATTGGAAACGCAAATGTGCATTAAATAAGCATCGTGGCAAGGTTTCACGCCTCCTTCCAGGTCTCATGACAGACTGCGGCACCATTACAAACACGTGTCTATATCATCTATACCAGCTCCTCCATTATTCCCTGTGATCCGTCTGCAAATGCTGGCACTTCACAGCCTTCCTCATAGATGTAATACAGTAATGCATCATAAATAATTCATATCAGTAAAGAGGAAGAAGCAGGGAGACGATAAAGAGGT